AGAAAAAATAAAATAATACTATTGCAAAAGCTGGTCGATGAATATCTCATGATATGAAGGCACGGAGATTAAGAAGGGTAGGGTATGCAATCCATAACAATCAATCTACATAATAATAATTGACTCTGTTGGGGCCAGGGGTACTTCAAAATCGAAGTACAGATCTTTCCCCGGTGCGTTTCCTCAATGGTGGGAAAATTCGAGTGAATTTAAATTTTGTTGGGAAAGAAGGAGAAAAAAAATTACTGAATAATGAGACCTGTAAAACATTAAATAAAAAAACAAAGGCATGCAAAAGAAAATAGTATTAAATAGAAATATTCAATAAATAAAAAATGGAGAATAAAAAAAAAATCCCCTTTTGAATGTTTACAAATTTATTGAGATAAAAGATAAAAAAAAACAAATGAGAAGAAAAAAGATTATTCAAATGCAGTGAAATAGAATAAAACATATACAATATTTAGTGAAAAATAAAATAATTGTCCATCAAAAACAAATCATAAATAAATAACTTCAATAATAAAGATTAACTTAAGAGAGAAAAATAATAACTTCAAGAGAACAAAATCAAATTTCGAGAATAAAATTAATCAAAAGGAAAAATTAACTTGAGAGTTCATTAAAGTTTAAATAATAATTTAGAGAGAAAACCCAAATTAATATTTAAATGTCGCATAGTGATGGTGAGAATAAAAAACGTTCCAAGTTGGAGAATCTTCTTCCAAAGACGTTACCTTGTACGATGTCAAGTCGATGTTGGGGAGTATCAAATCGATAGCCTGTCGATCGATCGTCAATCGCAGCGACGCGAAACAGCTGATGTTCGAAAATGGCGCTAGGTGAGATGTGATGAGTCTGGTGGGAGTTGACGTCTTCTACTATCTCGACAAAGGCTACTTCCAGACTGGCTTAAGACTGCATCCCGACAGTATTATGGCATTATTTGTGTCTTAATCCCTAAGACTGGGTATTACTGCCGGGCTGGTGTGTATACAAATGAGCGATAATACATCGCAAACGAAGGCAGATATACAAATAATACAAACACAAATATATTTCTGAGACAATAGTCCCTCAATTTTTACAAAAAAAAAATAAATAAACATTTTCTTCATTAACATTAGAAAGGGTAAATATGGCGAGAGAAAAAAATGTAGATCTGCAAGTATGCGGCGTTAACAGACTCAATAAAAGGCAATAAACGATGTAGGAGGTCAAAAAGCAGGTGGATAGATCAATCAACAAAGATGCAAAATAGAACTGCATACAGATAATTTGAAATAAATAGCCCAAGATAGGCAGAGATTGAGTAGGCCTGTTAAGGTGACAAAATATCTACAAGATCTGAAATGCAAAGAGGAAAAAAAAACTATTAGTCATGCTCAAGGGCATTAAGTATTAGTGTTTAAGTATTCATCCATTCCAGATTTACATGGAAATTTAAAAAAAAATAGATTAAAATGGAAATATCAAGGCGAGAATGGTCGAGGACTCCAGCAAATGGAAAAACATGAATGGTTCAATTTAATTCTTTCGCTGTATCCGACCAATGGGTGACATGCTCGAAAACATCTATTCTGAGTAAATTAGTACTTCCTCATCGTCCGGTGTCGTTTAGAACCGAAGTGCGTCCTCCTGAAGTACAGGTTTTCTCAATTCTTCACGGGTTATGGTGGTTTTCATACCATGGAATGGACATCGGTACTCCATTTTTCTGTCAGCGACCCTTCCTAGTTCTTGTTCCGGAGACTGCTGAGCACACCAGCGTAGACCTTCTTTGAGCCATTAAAGAATAAATTGATGAGGAAACTCTGCTTGCCTGGAGGACTTTATTTCTTAATGATATTTACAACTGTATTAAAGAAATACATTCAGTAAATTTGAACATATGGATATAATGACGTGAAAACACTTGTTGAGAAACTACCCTATGGTAGCACTCTAATAATATGTCTACATTAGGAGATCACGGTACCATCTTCAGACTCCTCGGAGGGTTGTCAGGAATTGAAGAGGAAGCAAGGTTAGAAACGAGAGGGTTGGGATGGTTCTGAAGTTTATAATGGAAGGATAGGTATCTGGATTGGGCCAGATCTGAAACATAAGAAACATTAAGGTCATTATGGATGGTTTTATTTGTAACAAATTAGGGAGCCTTGAGGATTTTATAAAGGATTTTGGATTGTAAGGATTGGATGCGAGAGGGATTTGATGGTTTAGTGGAGTTCAATTCCGTAAGTCCAAATAGGCCTTATTATAGTCATGTATATGAGTCTTTTGTGATTAATTGGAAGTTTAGAGTGTTTGTCTAGTAAGCGCTGAAGTAATCGGAAACGTTGAGTGGTTTTTTTCTATATCGGTTTCTGGTATAAGACTTCTAACTTAGGGCAAAAAGAACCCACTCACCTCTTAAAAGGCAACCGAACGGAGGAGCACGTATTGGGTTGGCAAATAAGTCCTTTCGGTTTTTCAGAGTAATATAAATTATAGACATAAAATTTATTTTAATCTACAATATATTGGACCATTATCATTCCACTAACTGCATAATGCCATGTTCATAGAATGTCTGGAGTTTATTGTTAAAAAACTGATCCAAGTGGTTTTTGATGTTCTCTTCCTTTTGGAATTTCTTCCCAATAATGGAGTTCTGCAGAGACCGGAATAAGTGTTAGTCACTTGGAGCTAAGTCTGGGGCAAAAGGTCCCATCCAAGGCTCAATAATTTATCGAGTGACCAGTGAGGTGTGGGGCATAGCGTTGTTTTGATGGAACACAACACCCTTTCGATCATTCATAACTCTTCAGGATGTTCTCCGAATTCTATGTTACTATATCCGTTGGAAAGCTGAATTATTGCTCTTCATAGCCGTATGAATGGGTTTTTTATTTAATGCTTACATAAGGAATAAATAAACAAAAACTCCTTATAGGTTTTTATTTTTTTTCTCCGCTTGTAGTTTTTTTACGAATGTTCTGTTGATGTCATTTTGTGTAGTTTATTTTAGCTAAATTTCTTGTAGATAGCTAAAGTCGTATTGAAGTTATAACATTTTTTTGTGATTTTCGAAAAAAAAAAACATGTGAGGGACCCAAACATTAAGCATAGAAACATACGGAGCTTGTGTGCTATACATTTAGGGCCGTAGAAATCTCTCGCACTGATTGGATGGGATTTTGATCAACAATGGCCTGTCATTGCTAGTTTCAATTTCATATGGACGAACAGACCGTCGAGCATTATTGATGTCAAAATTTCCAATCAACCAATTTTAACAGGTTCGTTCGGTTAAGGCATCATCCCCATGAACGCTGCACATTTTTTTATGAGCTTCTGCAGCAGGCTCAACTTTTTAAAAATAATACAACAAAATATGCCAATAATGAATGATATTTCCTTCGATATTCACAGTGCAATAGCAAACACAATACTAAGCTAGTTTCAACAGGAGTTAAAAGATATAGTTGTTGACATATAGAAACAGGATAAACAATCCACATTAGCGATTAATTCATCTCATAAGAAGTGTATCATAGTGACATAAAAATAAACAAAAAAACCGAAAGGACTTATTTGCCAACCCAATACAAGGAAACAAAGACTATATTAAATGAAGTGTTTGTAAAATTATTTATATGCAGCATTAAGATGTTACATGCAAGTGTGCAATATTGCAGTTACTGCGAACATCGGAAATAAATACAAAATTTAGATCGAATGGGATGTTGAGGTTCTGTTCGTAACGAAATATGTTGCGTTGACTATTGTTCGAAAGACTTGAGACTCGATGGATTAGACCAGCTAGCTAATATTTTTTTTTAGTTAATATAAATAATGAACTCGTCCATTCACGTTTATGCGTGTCATTTTACTTGCCCATATTTTTTCTCAACAATATTTTTCACTTCATAATATTTACAACTAGCTGATGCACCCGTTATTTTATTATAGTTAAAATTTGAGAATCCTTTTTTGAGATAGATTTTGTATTATGGACTAGAGGGTCCAAATTCAATTTCATAAAATTACATCTGTTAGGCTCGGGAAGTTGAATCGAATGACGGCTTGAACGGAAAGATCGGACAAAGTTGAAAAATTAGTGTGTTTTGCCCGTTTTATGCGATAACGCTTTGCAGATGTTCGGTATTCCGGATTTTTTCCCGTTGAGTTGTGATTATTTTTTTCCATCAGTTTAGTAGTAAAACTTTAAAATGTGGCTCGCGGTAGAGTAGGTTGGGATGAGAATGGAAGTAACTACCTAACCGGGATCTCAAGACAAATTATTCAAAAATTCATAACTTTGGTTCTACTCAATATTTTGTTTTCATTTGAAGCCCATGTTTCAAGTCAAGCAAACCTAAATATAACGTAAAATATTCAAAAGTCTACCATTGGTCATTGCCGAGCTTACCCCTGACAAAATTTCGTTGGCAAATACGGACATCCAGACAGACAAAAGTTTTTTTAAAAGTGGATTTTGTGTCTGTAATGTATAAAACGGAAAGATATCATGAAACAGGTTGATTCTATTCAATGTACAGACAAAACCTTTATTTTATTTATATAGATTTTCTTTAACTTATAAACATATGTTTATTGTTAACATTTATTATCAACATTAACCAAGATCATTACTCCAGAATTCATAACTTCGGTTGTACTCAATATTTTGTTTTCATTTAAAGCCTATGTTTCAAGTCAAGCAAACCTTAATATAATGTCAAAATTTCAAAAGTCTACAATAAGCCATTGCTAAGCTTACCCCTGACAAAATTTCGTTTCAATGCGGACATACAGACAGACAAAAAAAATGTTTAAAAGTGGATTTGGTGTCTACAAGGTAACAAGGTATGAAACGGGTTGATTCTATTCCATGTACTGACAAAATCTTTATTTTATTTATATAGATGAATAATAGCGTTGTAGCATATGGCCTCCTTGATTATTACAAAACCTCAATCGTTTTTGTATACTACTCAACTTCTTTTTGCCCTTACTCCGGACATATTCGTCATCGATATCTTGGGGCTTTTCCGGTATGATGCCGCCGTAACGTATCACACCCGAGGAGGCCAGCCTCGCCTTGAGGGCAGGAAGGTTCACCACTGACTTAGATTTGAAGTCCTCGAAGCCGGATATGACGTCACGCACCTCGTTCTCGATGATGACTACCAGCGTGGGATTGGTCCGTATACACAGCTTCTTCTTGATATTGTCGTTGGAGGCGGTATCGAGATAGTAGAACTCCGCTTCGTCGTGCTCGTAGGAGAGGATCTTGAGGTAGGTGTGGAAGGTGTCGGAGATATAACCGTCCCCCTCGGAGAAGTTGACGACAGCTTCCCTCTCTTCGGATATCAGCTTGTAGAACTCGACCTCTTTCAGCGGGCTGTAGTTCGGGAACTCTATAGCGGTTATGGAATTTTTTGGTATGTATTCGAATTCCTTCCTTTCCTCGTTTTTCAATTTGTTCCTGCTCAGAGAACATTGGAACAGATGCTGCTCTTTCAAGAACGGCGATTTACTTGGCGGTACCGGCATTCTAAATATTGAAAGCTTTTTTTTGTTTTTGGGTGGAATTTCGAGTCCGCTGAATATTTTAATGAAGTATTATTAAACCATATGGTATTAAATATGTTGAAACGGCTATACAGATTTTTCATTTTCGCGAAGTGAGTCATTACCTTTGGGTTAAAAATTGATAGGGTTATCATTTTTAAATCAATTACAAATATAGTTTAATTAAATTACAATACGAGTAAATACGAAAATAGTTGAAAAATAAAGAAATGTTCGAGGAACTTTTAAAAGCTTTTATTATTTACAGTATTGCTATATATTATTATTTTTAGATATAAATGCAAATATAAACAATAGAATCTTTTAGTGTTTGGTAATATACTTAGGTGTGTCTTGACTTTAGCCTATTTTAATCGATTATTCTTGTTTACTTAATTGATTTCAGTCTGTATAGTTTATTCATTCCTCTAGATTTTTTTTTCTTCTTTATTTGAACTTTGTTTAAATAAATTATAATGTATAAGGATACTATATACAAACATATTTCTTTTTGCTTGGTCCTTATGTTACCCGAGGGTTCAAATTTTGATTTGATCAAAAATTTTGATGACTCCATAAAACCCCCTTCTGAGTACCCCTGATGATATTTGATTATGCGGGAAAAAACTGTCTATATACAGTAATGCCCATCCCCCCAAGGCCGATGGCGTGTAAACCTTCTCTCACCCCTCACAACATATTTTATTCCTCTCTTGTTCTTAAAAACAGCGCCAACGAAAGTAAAATTTAAATATTAGTAGATTATATACATTTTCACCTCTTGCTGTCTGTTCCATGCTTCCACTTTTCATTTTGAAAATTCATAACCCCATCGAAATGTCACCCACCATTAAATTTCCTTCTGGGCACCCACGTAGATGATAAATCCACTAACAGGTCTCCTATTGGTACTTTTTTTCTAAATTTGGTTAAAGTTCATAATACCAGAATCTAGAGGACGCCCACTGCATCGCCGATATCCACTTACCGGTGCCATTGACCGCTTATTCTCACGATAATATTGCGAACTTTTGATTCAATATCCATGTCTTTCCATCGTTAAACAGAATTTTACTGGATTAAAATTAAAATTAGAAAACAACTCTGGGTTTACACATTCAGTATTCTTCATGTTGACTATCCTTTAGTTAATAATTCATATAAAGAAAATTAAAAATAAATTAATTTTAATTAATAATTAAAAATAAAATATATTAGTCGGTTATTTTTTATTTTTACCAACAATAAGGCCTATTTGGACTTATCAAATTCCTCTCGCATCCAAACCTTACAATCCAAAATCCTTCGTAAAATCCTCAATGCTCCTTACTTTGTTACAAATAAAATTATCCATAATGACCTTAATGTTCCTTATGTATCAGATTTGGCCCAATCCAGATATCTGTCCTTCCATAATAAACTTCATAATCATCGCAATCCTCTCGTTTCTAACCTTGTTTCCTATTCAATTCCTGGTAACCCTCCGAAGCGTCTGAAAAGAACATGGCCACGTGATCTTCTAATATAGACATATTATTAGAGTGCTACCAATGGGTAGTTTCTCAACATGTTTTTCATGTCATTATATCTATGTGCGAATTTATCAGGTGTATTTTTTGTATACAGTTGTAAATATCATATAGATAAATTTAAAAAAAAAAATGTTTACCAACAATTAAGAGAATCCCTAAAAAACAAAAAAAAAAACGACAGAGTCTTACAATTAAAACGAATCAAATAAGAATATAATATAAATATAATATAGTATAATTATAAGTATATAATGTCCCTTTTGCTTTTTGAGCAGTTCATAGCAGTATATAGTATAGGAAGCAATCCAATATTTTTTTTTCTATGATACAAATTCCTTAGTTTAAATTGGTGTGATTGAGCCCTCAAACGCTCCCAGAACCCGCTCCTTTTCCATACCATCATGGCGACTGGAGTTGAGATATAAATATTTGTCCGATGCAGAGAGGTAGAAGAGAGGAAGAGGTAGGAGTGCGGTGGGCAGAGGGACACCTACCTCACATTCTTGCCGCGGCCCTGCCTTGGTATTGTCCTATCGATAATTATCGCGATATTTCCAACGCCTACTGTATCCCATTCGGCTACAGATTTAGTCAGCTGTGGCGCCAAAGCTACCATCATTACCACCTTACATCCACATGTTATCGATTATCGATGTACAATAATTAGTCAGTCGTAATATCGATATGTTGATACTTGATCGTTCGGATAATCTTTAATCGATAGTCAAAGATTGTGTTTAACTTTTGAATTCTCGTAAAAATATAATTTTATAATTTGTACCATATAAGTATTTTTTTAGAACTAATTAATTAATTAGTTTAAAAATTCATGCCTAAAATGCAATCATTTTATGTTTTTATTTATTATTATTACTATTTTGATCTATGTAGCAAGTTTCTATAATGAATTTAATGCCTTAAAATATATTGTGGACTCCTCAAGGAGGATCTAGTCAGATACTGAACCAAACCTTGAACAAAGGGTCAAATTCCAAAGAATTTCTATTTATCCTGTATATTATTTCTAAAAGGTGTTTTTTTTGTCGGCACACCATAATTTCGTCAATTCTTCATCAAATCCAATGATTGACCGCTCATTTTGAAGATATTCATCTGCTTCACATGCGTAATTTCTGGAAAAAAAGATATGAAGGGAAAGAAACTTTATTTGCAAATAACTCAAAAAGTATAATTTTTTTCTAACGATTACTAAATTAACTACAAAACAAAAAAAAAAAAAAAAAAAAAATCGAACAATTATTGACAAAGATACAGTCCATTAGTTTTGGTATACTCAATAATTTCTTCCTCTTTAAAGATATTGCATTTACTATTCTACACTTTTTTCCTGGCTGATATTTTAACTTCATTATTTCTTAAAGGCATTTGTTTGTACTTTCATTATATTTTTTTTAATGATTTAGAAAATACCATAATCGATTCTTTATTTTGTCTTTATTATTTTTCAGACAGCGTTTAAAAATAGGTCTTAACAAAGCAATTTTTACAAATATTTTGGTCTATTATGTTTAATGGAATATTGCAATCGACCAAGGAAAAAAATCTTAATTCCTTTCTTGAATTATTATACATTGGATCTACTTATTTTCATATTGTTTTGCTATTTCTTCACTAAACGAAATTTTCTGCGAATTATTTGCACGGGCCAACTGGTTATATAATATTATTAAGTAATATTCATTTAAATTTTCAATTTTCACAAGAAAGGTTATTTAGTCAAACAGCTTTATGAAATCAAAATATTTGTATTCAAAATATTTATCCTCATTTTCTGTACATTTTTTCCCAACATGTCATCAACAAGAACTAAAACATTCAGTGTTTTGTGAAGAAATGAATTCAGAAAATAAGTTTTTCACCTGAAAATCATTTTTAAAAAAAATTATCTCTATGGAAGTTGTCCAAATTTATGAAAAGATGAAAATCTGTTGGAGATAAGTCTGATGAATAAGCTGGTTGTGGAAGGACTTCGTAACACAGCTCGTTTATTTTCTTCACTGTCTGTCATGAAACATGAAGGCATTATCGTGTAAGTGTATAGGTCCTTTCCGATTAACCATTGTAGGTTATTTTGTCAGGTTTTTGATGCATTATGTCAATATCACTGCTCTACGATGTGAATGGGATGTTTTCACCTCTGGATAAAAAGGAGATATGAATTATTTGGGTTTTTGTTTCAAGGTTTCGTTATTACTTTTCTTTATATGTTTAAAATTTTAATTGATTCCTCTTTAATTTTCTATTTCTTAGTTCAAAACTGTGCAGAATTGTATAAGTATTAGAAATAATACCAATACTAAATACGGGACGAGATGAGCTGCAATGGCGTGGTGGGCTTAGCGCCTTGGGTGGTCCCCAGGTCGGTAGCGACTTAATTGCCATTCTACTCGCACAAATCTCTTTTATCACATTAGTTTCTGTTCCTTTTATTAACCATTTCACATTATTAATTATTATTTATTCTTATTAACGTTTTATCTTTCTTTCCTTTTATCTTTAGCTGTATTTATTCTACTACCTTTTAATTAGATTGTACTGTCTTTTCTCGTTTCATAACTCTTTATTTCTAGCATACGAGGAAGAAGGGGGAAAAGAGATGGTTGTTTGTTGTAGTACTACAAAACCTAACCTAACCAGTGTGGAAAGGTCGAGTTTTATTCCGTGGGTCCGTCACGAAATAAATTTCAACCCACTCTGGTCGGATTCAAACCGGCGCTAGTAAACTCGAGAATTTTAAACCGAATAACCCCTAAATCCTATCTCACAAATATAATATTTTTAATTCATATAGAACTAAATAGACATTGATTTTTTTAAACTAACGGGGTACCACCCTCTGTCCGTCTGACGGCGGACCAACCCCCATTTTACAAATTATACAACTGTTCATTTAATTGTACTGCACGTTGCTCAAATTGTATAACTGTAATTTACATATATTCTGCAGTTCAGATTGTATTATTTTTTATCAATATAAAATAAACGGAACAAAATCACAGTGTAGGTAAGTGCCTGAGAATGGAACTCGTATCATAGCAACACTATCTAGGTGTAACACTGCGGGGAGGTAATAGAGTAGATGTAGCATAGACAATAGACCAAATATTCATTTGTAAATAGAGCCGAGGTGTCAACTTGCGCCCATCAAAATTTATGAGGGGGCACTTTTTGACGGGGTTTTCGATTTTTGAGGGGAGGGGCAAATTTCGACGGGGTTATGAATTTTCAAAATGACAAGTTTCAAAAGACAAGTGAAAGCATGGTTCAGACCACATTGTATATAATCTATGAATATTTAAATTCTACTTTCGTTCGCACTGTGTTTAAGAAGAGGAGAGGAATAAAATATCTTGAGAGTGGTGGAGGAAAGTTTATAGGCCTTGGATGGATGTGCACCTCTCAAATAGAGTACTTTGTGTTTGTCCGCTTGTATTGTAAATATTGTGCATAGTGTGTGATTTAAATGTTTGTTTTTTCTCTCATTTTCTAACGATTTTATTGAACAAATACAATAAATGCATACAGACATATACATTAGTGTATGTATCCCTAACCACCTCTAACCAAGACCAAGACTGATAAAAAAAATCGATTTTTGATTAAAAATTGAGGCAAAATAGTCGCTAATACTTGACAATTTTATTTACTATATGGAAAGAATTGGTGTAACCAATATACTTTTGAATTTAACTCTTCTAATTTTTCATTCAGACTTAGTTAGGTTTCTCCTATCTAAAAAATTACAGTAATATTTCTCTAGTAATAAGAGAAATCCTTTTTCCATTTTTTTTTTTTTTGTTTTGCTTTTTCCTTGGCATGTCTACTTTTGTAAATGGTTCGTTTATATTTTTTGATTAGTGTGTTAAGTTTGTTGGGGATAAGATGGGTGATGTCTTCGTTACGATCCGTCCCACTTTATATTTGTAAAACAAAATATGAAAGTCACTAAAAACGTTTTTTATTCAATTGAGAGATACATTATTCTTATAATACTATTTTTCAAGCAGCTTTGTGGCAATAAGACATAACATAACTAGCCGCGAAATCGAATTCGAAATCTAGCCGCACCGAACGAGTTCAGTTCAGTTAACTATTTACTGGCAATTCTTCACTTACAGCTAATTAACTAATTACTGCTACCCTTAAACTGGACCGATAGAGACAGCCGTAGCCTAAGATAGGAAGCCATCTGGATACAAGAGGATGTGAGCGGGATGAATGGGCAGAGAGCTGTTGCTCAATGAGCGGGCTTTCTCCATGAATGGGTCCAGACGGTGGGCGGCGGCGGTACCCCCACGTTCTCAGTTCTCTTCCTTCTGCTCTCTGCTCTCTTCTCTACCAGCTCTTCTTCCAGAGAATATATCCTCAGTAGATATAAAGAGATATATGGCCTATAAGTATAATATTATATAACCTCGGTGTTAATTTGTAAACTGACCGTTTGGATCGATGTTGGCAACTATCTTGCGAAACCCTTTATATATTTGAGCCATTATTACCATATGGAGGAGAGCGGAATAGCTCGATATGAGTAAGGCACTGCGTTTCTTCTTCTTTAACATCTACTGCTGTGGATTAACCATGGGGTGGGAAAACCTTGCTTGGGCACATCTAGACTCTCTAAAATGGTTATTGTTAATTAAATAATTCATTCAGGGAAAAACTAGACGGTTGAGCGTAGTGTTGCCCAAATGCGAGACCGAGACGAGTCTTGGTCTTGCAAATTCAATCTTGGTCATGGTCTTGGTCTTGGTCTTGGTCAAGAGTCTCACAACGGCCTTGCAGTTACCTATAAGCTTAATACTATAGAGATATTACTGTATATTTTTAGATAGGGGAACCCTAAGTAAGCCCGAATGAAAAATTAGAGGATTCAAATGCAAAAGTATATTGATTATAGCAATTATTATTAACATATAGTAACTAAGATTGTCAAGTATTAGTAACTATTTTTATTAAAAAAATCGATTTTTTTTACGAGTCCTGGTGTTGGTCTTGCAACAGTTAGGCGGCCTTGCAAAGTGCAAGACCAAGACCGATTTTGGGTAACACTACTTGAGCGTGGTTTCAGTTAAATAACTTGAGCCGTTGACGATAAAACAGTCCTCTCTTACAAAGTACTGAAGCAAACGTCCTTCCATCAGATTTAGTGACACGGATTTTGTTTCTCTTTAAATTACGACAAGTAAAAACCTTGAAGAACTGATGAATTTGCTCAAAAGTAGACATATTCATTTTGACCAAATCAGAGATTTAGATTAGGTTTATATATATTTGTATAACTGGAGTTCCGACATTTTCCAAATTCTTCACTCAAGATGTCGATTTTTTTTTTTCGTCCAGCCCTCCATCGCCTTTTAGGCTATACGGGGATTATTCCGGACTACGAGAGAAACCGAAGATTAATACCAGAGTTAAAAGTTCTCCCCAATTTACCGGGAATCGAACTTGTAATTATTACAAGTGCCCCCCTACTAAGTGCTCTTGCTTAGTCTCCTCTGATTATGGATACAGGTGACGCGGTTGATAGAGAAGCGCTGTGATCTCCTTGAGCCCTGCTTTCGCTTTTTAAGTTGTTAGGAAAGGCTCAGGCCTAGTTCGAGGTGGCTTGATAATTGTAAATGTTTTATATAAGTATAACTGTATTTAAGTGGTTATTTTTGTTAATTTAACTAAAAATGTATTTTCTTCTAATTTATTATAATATTAAATACTGTTATTTTACTGTTTTTCCAATCAATTAATTTTTATTTTCTGTAAATAGGGTGTAAATAAACTATTTATCGTTATCAGTTATGTTCTGAATTGTGATTAATTGACCGAATGTAATATAATTAAATAAAAAAATATTTTTAATACCTCGTGTCCTAGAGTTGTACTTCACTTAATAAATGAGCGGAAACATAGCCTTTTCTAGCATATCTAATATCCAATGGTTTTCTAGCAAAATGGGCATCTTATGGTGAAAAAAAAAAATCAGTTTTCACTGTCACTTAGCAAACAAATGTGGTAATGAAAATATCCACTTTTGCTAGCAAACTCCTCAACTAATGCCTTCTTCAGTTGTGTTACTCCACCTGATGAAATGTTGAGCTTATGCTTCTCTGAGCATGTTAGTGATCTCATGCTCTCTACTCAGAAATATAGATACCTTCTATTTTGGACTTGGATTTGTTGATCGTAAGCAATTATTAGATCCGTGATTTGTATGGTATATATCTTTCCACCATTTTCTTATAATCTCTCTGAGAAAGACTCCATTATAAATTTTGTAGAGAGTCGGCAAAAGGCAGCTTCCTTTCTGAAGTTTTGAACGTATTGGGTTAATGTGATTTTCATTATTGTGATATATTTCATAGATATTGTTTATTATACATGTTGCACTATTTGCTTTTTTAAGATCAATAAATAGAAACTTGATATCTTTATATATCTCCAAATGTTTTGCGAAAATTTGCCTCATGATAAATCTAATCTTTCTGGACTAAAGCCACTTAGTCCTTTTGCAACACCCTATTCTCTTTTACCTTATTCTTAAGAATGTTAAAGAACATTATAATTGTCAAAGTATGTTTTGTAGCCACATAGTGGTTTATTATTTGAGTTACTCATATATTTTTTTTTTTTTTTGCAGTATTCGAACATAAGGATAGGACCTGTCGTTAAGAAGGATGTAATGAAAGCTTCCATTATGTTGGAACACGATAGTCAGTAAGTATATACAGTTGATTATTTTTTATATACATATTGCTATATTATATATATACTTATATATACCCTCTCTGGCCATCTATAGGTATGCTGTGATACTCGCTTTCGACGTCAAGATAGAGCGAGACGCACAAGAACTAGCTGATAATTTGGGAGTGAAGATCTTCCAGGCCGATATTATTTACCATCTCTTCGACAAGTTCATGGCCTTCAGGGAAGAATTGAAAGCCAAGAAGAGGGAAGAGTTCAAGTCCATCGCCGTATTTCCGTGCAAGCTCAAGATTCTGCCTCAGGTATCGCTATAGTATTAATTGTTTTATTTTAAATGTAATTCTAGGTTTTTTTCGACGTTCATTGTAAATATATAGACAAAGAGTGTGGAATCGACAATTTTTATAACTAAAACTGATCGCGTTTTGCACTTTTTTGTGGAGAACGAATTAGATTGAGCCGCCAGATTTCAGATGAACGCTCGGGTAAAATCGACTACAGTCGATTAATTGAAGTGCTTTTGCATATGGATTAAAATATCTCAACAACTAAAAATCGGATCTGTATATTGTTAACAAGGAAAATGCTCATAATTTCATCCTCTTTGTAATGAGCTATTATTTATAATTTATATTTCATATTATTAATTTCGCCTTTTTCGATGTTTTCATCAATAATATCGTGTAGTCTAAAGCACACAACTTATTTTGTTTTTTTTATTTACTAATGGTAAATTAATCGCTATAATGGATCATGGAGAACAATAAAGTATATAGACCAACTACCACTTTGATATGGCCAACCATGCTGCTGGGGCAGGATTCCCGAAGTAGGGATGGGATATAGTCGATAGTTTTGCACTATCGATAGTTTATATTATCGTTGAAACACTAAGACAGTATCGATAGTTCAGTTACGTCCTACAACAGACTTGAGAAGAAATTATTCTCTCTCTATTCTTTATAAGCTTCAACACAATATTGATTTAGGCACTAAAACAAATTATTAATTAAACAATTAAAAAATTTATTGACGGGAAAATAGATTTAGATAGAAAATTAAATTATTGAATATTTGACCGTTGCATTATAAAGGAAGGAGATGGTCCGGGGTGGCGGTCATAAATAGGCTAAATAGTGGCAAAAATGTAGTGCATAAATTTGTTTAAAATGATATTTTGAGTCACTCTGCAAGATCATAGCTTTCAAAAATGCAATTTAACGTTTTTATTCATACTTCAATAAGGTCAGTATAGCTTCCTCACCGTTTCCGTGTATATTACAAGGTATACAATTTTTCGTATGAGAATAAAATCTCTGAGAGAAGCAGAATCGAATAGCCGTTACAGTTACCCTTCAACATTCAACAACAGAGGGTCGTATTTGAATATTCCATACTTGATTATGCTTAATAAAAAATAAATAAATAAAAAAAATGCATACTGAACATGAACTTCAATACTGTTAGTTCAAAAGGTCTTATGCATAAATTTATTTATTGTTTTACAAGAGTGCATAAAAACTCAATATTTCTATATGCTTTATTAGAATAATTTCATATTTTATTTTCATCTGCTATTTTCCATAGTAGCAGACTACTTATATCAGTTGCAGACTACAAAATATCACCTTTAATACACATAGAATTAAAGTTGAAAATTATTACATACGAACTTATGCTCTAATAATAGTATATACATTACCGAATCAAGATTTAATTTTGGAGGAGGGCTTCAGCACGAAAGATTTATATATATATAACGATAATTATTTGAAAAAAACACTGCAAATTATTTCTCTTTGGTATATTATTTCCAAACAATTATACATATAAAGTAACATTAAATTCGTAGTTATAAAGAAAAATAAATAAAAGGTGATTCTAATTATTGGACTAAAATTTTTTTTAATCATTAGTAATATGCTAAAAAAAATAGCATTACTTCAGTAACACATATAAAAAAAAACTAGAGACCATATCATTGCTCCTAATTGTCCGATTTTGACGAATTTTTTTTGTTTTTTAGGAAATTCCGTAAACTTCTAAAAAACCATACATATTGACATAAATGTGTATACTTCTTGAGTTATTCGGAATTTAATTTTACCATCCCTCGTAACTTTTTTTGAGCTTCTTTTCGTTGAAGTATGTAGTATAGATAAATTTAGAGGGCGTAGAGAAAATGACTTTAGCGAAGTTTCATCAAAATCGGTACATTCGTTTAGGCGCTACAGTCTATAGCAACGCAGGTTTTTCGGCCGCCATTTTGAAACTAGAAGGCGAATAGTAATGTCGTTGAAGGAGGATGATCCTCGGGTGACCTCTGATTTTATATCCAAATTCGAAAAAAATCGGTCTAGTAGTTTCAGAAAAAATGCGCGGACGGCGGACGGCGGACTAGTAGTGCACATATAAGAGAAAGTGTTGGACACAATTCAATGAAATTGACACTACATTATTTTTTCACCAAAGTCTACCTTTTATCTAACTTTGAGCCAAATCGAACGAGCCCTTTCTGAAATATTGGCATATCTAAAAATATACGTTTGCGCGTGCGTAAGCGGAAGTGCTGGATGGAATTTGATAAAATTGATATGGGACCATCTAGGCACCAATCAGCATAATCCCTGAAAATTTCATGAAGATTGGATGAACGGTACTAGGTGATATGCCCGTCACATCGATTTGACTACAGACAGACAGCAGCAGACAGACACCGAACCAAATTTGATCCTTGATGTCTGAAACGTAAAACGCGAGTGAAAATTTTCGATTCTGAGCAAAAAAATTTTTTAATCTCTCGCACGAACACAATGCTTCCCTACCTTCGGTAAAAAAACGAGATATATGCTTTCACGACCGCATATGATAATAAAAAAATAAAGTGGCAATCCCGCAACACTTCGCTTTCTTGCATATCTGTTATTTCTGAAATTAATAAGTAAATTTCGAATAAGAAAATCTACGACGAAATGCAGGAAGTATTATTTTGACTATTTAGTAAAAAAAGTATGCAAGAAATGTGTATGTCTTTTATTTTCAAGATTGTAAATTTCTAAGTTTAATTTGATAAGATTTGTTTCAAGTATAGTAAATTTCATATCATATATATTTTTTATGTGTAAAAAATATTTTATAACTTAACCTACATGTCGAACTCGAATATAATATAATTCTTAGTTTGGAGCTAATTTTAAATTAACAAAGTAATACACACATATGTATATATATTATTTTAAGAAATTAACTATATATTATAAATTTTCAGTTCGTTTTCAACTCGAGGGATCCGATAGTGTGTGGTGTAATTGTGGAAGCTGGTATCGTCAAGGAGGGGACACCCATATGCGTACCAAGCAAAGAGGTTAGAAATCTATACTTTTAAATATATTTATATATATATATAAAACATACATTTACTCTTGAATATATATTTATTTTCTAATTGTTTTCAGTTTGTCGAGCTGGGTATCGTGACGAGTATAGAGAACAACCACAAGCCGGTAGAGAGCGCCAGGAAAGGACAGGAAGTGTGTATCAAGATCGAACCGATACCGGGAGAGTCGCCCAAGATGTTCGGAAGGCATTTCGACGAGAAAGACTTCCTTATCAGCAAGGTAGTTCTCATCTTGATTATCAATATTGTTCCACCCTTCTCAGGTGTACGCCTTTCGGTTATTGAAGATTGTCAATAGGTTTTATCAGCTGTTAATGATCTATGCCCGAGGGATCGCTAAAGCGGTACAATGAAGGATGTATCGATACAAGATCTAAATTAATAATGAGTACAATTGAATACCAAAAATGTATTGCTTGTTCCCGTGTACTATCGTGTTAGTGTTGTCACGACGCTGAAAATGTCTTTTTCTAGGCACTAATAAAAAAAAACTGATGACTGTTGGAAAAATGGCGGATATTGAACAGCTGGCCGAACATTAAACAGCTGACCAAAACAACAGCTGGTGCCATGATTATTTTAATAAAGGCCTCTTATTTACAAGGTGTAAAGTAATGAAACTGGAATTTTTGTTTAGAAAATACGCGTTTACTGCATTAAAATATTAACAAATATTTAATCCGAAATATTGTCCATAGTGGCTATAAAATTTTCACATCTCTTTATTTATGAATGGTTTGCCAAAAAAAACTGTTTTGTGGCGAACCTGTAATCAAGCCCTTTTCATAAGAATTTAAGCGCGAATAAACAAGTGTGTTAAAAATTATGCATATAAATAGTAGTCGGACGGAGCCAAGTCTTGTAAATAAATCATATTAATATGAACAATATTATAATAATTCTCACACATTCTTATAATAGATCTCTAGACGATAAAAGATAGCCAAACCGTCCAATATTTTTGTAGGCCACCTTCTTTTTCGATTTTGTGATCAAATTATGTTATGATTCAAGTGTATCTTTTTAATACCTAATTAATTTAATGAGAAAACGTCCCATTTTTGTAGATAAAAAAAATTGCAAGTTACGATATAATGAAGCAAACTTTTGCTTTCCACAACTTGTAAATTCGTAAGCACAAATCTCGACCTGTTAAACATTATTAAAACGTCGTTGTTATGTGAAACTTTCATTGTTGTGAGTTGAAAAACTTTGCTAGATGCCGAAAAAATAATATAGCGTCGATAATACGGTTTAACTGTAAATACATTAACAACTAGAGATATTTCTAGAACTCCAATCCAGGCTTGTCCCTTTAACTATAGATTAAAAAGCAGAACTTCATGAGATCCCTGTGCTACTCTCTCGACCGCGTCACTAGTGCTAAAGCCAGCGGTAATTGATCGACGAGAGCTCTTTAGCCACATACATTCATGGCTTGAGTGCAAAATCTGGCCATTGCCAGAACTTGGAGGATTACAGGGATGGTCGGTGGGAGATAGGGATTGTGCAAGAGTATTTTTGGATGATAGGTAAGGTTCTGGTGAAATTTAAAGAAGGTCTAGGACAAATAGAATGTTGAGGTCATCGTGTTGGGTTTTGTTGGTTAAATAAAATGGAGCATCAACTTTTGTTCGATGAACTTTGGACTGAAAGGATTAGATGCTTCATGAATTTAATTAATAAAATCATTGGAACGTATCTATTTTGAATATAAAAATAATTGAAACGATAATAAATAAAGTAAAGTTGCCATATGCAATTACCATTATACTTGATAAGGTGGGACTTATGTAAAGGTTATGTTAAAATAGTTGTGATTGCCGTCAAAATTAATTAATCATCGCGCAAAATCTGATATTCAGTTATATTAAGTTAATTTTACCACGACAATAAATGAGATGATGGCGGTAACGCGATGAAAAATGGTTACACGGAAGCTTTTGATGTTTATTTTTCCTTCGTATCATCCTGGATATAAATTGTTCCCTTCGGTCAGTTGCTCTAATGACGCCATTTCTCTTGCTATCTAGATCCAGATTTGTCTAGCCGTGGACAGCTATTGTACATAACTTTTCGGTGAAGTGGTTGATGGCTCCGGTAAATTGCTACGTGGGAGGCGGTGTCCTTTCCCAGAATAGGACGAATGGTGCGATCCCGAACGTTTATAGCTCCCTTCCGAACAATGAATCCCAAATTAGACCATTATATGCTTTCTAAATTTTAGTGTCATTGCTTGAAGCATGCATGAGGAAAATACCAATATTTATCGGTCGAATAATTCTCTTTTCCTACTACATTTACGCCACTTAATATTATTTTCGTACAGTTGCTAGGTAACGATGTTATTCGTTCCCTTTCGTTACTCAAAAATGGCGGCCGGTTTTAAGATCATTGAAAGCATGCTACTCCTTGACTTCCGAGCCTACCGTCCCCAACTCTTGATTGTAAATTACTTGATGAATTTTTACTAGTCTATAATATAGTAGTCTATAATAATTGTTAAAATATTCATGTAAATATATTTTTGAGGATTTCGATTTCATAATTACTTTCTCAGATCTTGTAATCGGATTATAAATTACGAATAACAGTAATTAATTTATGAATTTTCGCAACAATCTAAATTTTGTTAGTCTCATACTTTTTTATATTGACTGATTTTTTTTGTTGTAATTTATTAAATTAAATTTTTCTATACAGTTTTATTAACTGATAACATAGTTTTAAGTATATAATAAAATTAACTGATAGTCAATTCATGGTTATGACAGTACCAAGTATTTTTCAACTAAAGGGTTGCTATGTTTACATTTTTTTGTTAAATAAATACTTTTATAATAATTTTTATATATACCATATAAGTTTTTTTTATAAAGATTACAATCTGTCTCAGTTAAGGACACTTACAATAGAGTTCAGAGAATAGATTCACACCATATATACAGAAAAATAAATCAATAAAGTAATAAAAAAAAGAATACATAGAAATCAGAACAAAATAAAATATTATAAGGAGAGTGAAAAAAAAAAAAAAAAAAAAAATATATATATATATATATATATATAAAATTACTTCTTAATTACTTCTGCCATATAATTTGTAAAAAAATTGGACTTTCTTAATTATTTTCAATATTCACGCTCACCTTCGGATTGACCTTATGATGGGGGAAAAGTAGGACTCTAGGAGATCCTAGAGTCAAAATTTCACTAATTCTTAAATATTTGTATTTTGCATATTTAAAAGTATTTTGTTGAGACTAAATTTTATGTACATTTTTATCTAATAACGAGTTATCATTGCATCTATAACATTAATCAATTAACCCCTGCTATGAATAGTTTTTTTTTTTTTTTTTTGCTAAATTTGTTTATTTCAATTATTCATTTTGATATGATAAGAATGTTATCGTTATCTTTATCTTTATCAGGCTCTCCGCTGTTCGGGACCATTCAGAATATCCTCAATAGTTCCTTCGAATGACGTAATGTACAATAAGTATTTCCTCGCTGCTACGTCGTCTTACGTAGTTACGTAATTGTGTTTTCCGAATCGATCTTCTCCGTATTATACGACATTAATTTATTTTAAGATTATCTGAGGCGTAAGTTGTCGTATGTAGGTGTATTGTATTTATTCGTAACTGATTCCATTGAAGGAATGTTTTAAGATAACATAAGAAAATTATCCTGGATCCACACATTAACAATATTGTTCCGAATAGCCCATATATTTAAGATTGATTTGTCTCTTTATAACTGACGACGTTTTTCTTTATCAATTTTATTCACAATTTCAGGGATAAAAAATAAACGCCACATTTAGTCAGCAAGAGATTTTAAACCTAGATTAATTGCTGGCTCGATTATTTTCTGTCATGGCAGTACTATTAAAATGTGTCTTGTCGCCTTTCAGACTACACCGAGAGTTTGGATGGCCATGACAAGCAATTTTTTTAAATTAGTAAATTGTAGGTTCAGGTTCTTTCTGAATTTCCTCATCTTCATTTCTAAGACGACGACTTTAACAGTTGAGGAACGATATTCCTTCTTCATCACTGGAGTCGTGGGAAAAGAGGGGGAGGGGCGAGGCGGAGAGTTGTTGAAGCTGAAGTATTGGGTTGGCAAATTAGTCCTTTCGTATTATCATTTTTGTAATATGTCAACAACTATATCTGTTAACTCTTGTTGAAACTAGCATTATGTTTGCTATTGCACTTTGCCATATGGAAGAAAATCGTTCATTATCGGCATATTTTTTTATATTATTTTAATAAAGGTAAACGTACTGCAGAAGCTCATAGAAAAATTTGCAGTGTTTATAGGGATGATGCCTTAACCGAATGCACCTGTCAAAATCGGTTTACCACATTTCATTCAGAAAATTTTGACACCAATGATGCTCAACGGTCTGGTCGCCAAGATGAAGTTTCGATGTCACTTATACTTCGCATAAATTAGGAGAAAGGATAGCTGCCTAGTGTATGAGATTTCTCACTAAGATACTTATTGAAGACTTGTTTGTTTAATATGAAAGAGATGAAATAATAATCATGATGGAGATTATTAATATTATTATACAGAAGGCAGGGAGTGGGCAGGTGCGAGGGCGCACCCTCTCGGCCGAAAAAGGAGACGGGTCACCATCAATGGCAATGGCTCCGCTCCATTCACCATTCCCCGCTCCCATTCACGTCTAGCCCACCCATTCTTACTTCTAAGAAATTTATTTCGTCATCTTTATTGTAATTTATATTTTAACAGCCAAGCATATAAAGAATCACTTCAAGAAAGGAATCAATTTTAAAGAAATGTACTTAATTGATTTAGTAACGTTGAATGAAGAATTAATAAAATATTTGTAGTACTAGTTCCGAATCCAAGATGGCGGCTAGTTTCAAGGTCACTTGTAGCATTATCTCGAAGAATGCCGAAAGTAGCCGAGTATCGAAAATCATATTGATGTAGAAATAATTCGATGAGTCTTAACGACGTATGAATGCTTAAAATTCTCATGAAACTATTTATTGTGAAAAAAATAATTTTTTTTACCTGATGGAGAATGCTCTCGATTATGTATTATATAGGATGTGATAGTTCTTAATGGTCAATTTCTGTGTGGTGATTCTAGACAAAAATTGCCAACAAAAAATTTCATTTGATGCATGATTCGATTTCTTAAAAGCAGTGTAGTCCAAAGTTTTAAAAGAAGAAAAGCAGTTAAGTCTAATTTTTAGTCACGGTTTTTATAGGGGGCGTGGTGGACAAACCGGACTAACGCGTGTGTACAGCACCGTGCGTTTTCTGGCAACCTAATAAAATTAAGTTTAGACGACAAAAATAAGTTTGAGTTCGCGTCTCGGGGCCGCTGAAGGGAGACGTGCTTTTAATTCTGGCATCAATACCTCTCCCCTCCCCCCCCCACCACAAAATTTAATTAATTTTGAACAGTTTTTTAAAAATTCCTTCTTATTCGATAAAAAACGTTACTACCATTAGAAAAACACAAAATTGGTCTTAACTATTTCTCCGTTTCGGAATCGGCCCATGCGTCAAATGAACCTTTTGGGTTGGAAAATTTGTCCAAAATCACCCCCCTCCCCCCAGAGTTTGGACATTAAAGACACCTTTTAGAGACACCTTGTATATTAAATTCATATATCCGTTATTAATTATAATTATACGGAAAAGTACGTTTAAAATATAAATTTAATTTCGATTGAATCAGTTCTATTTAATTAGTAGTGTTGTAGATTGTAGATAATAATTCAAAAGAATGCAGCAGATGTTGATTAACGTCGAATATAAACATCAAATTCGAATGTGTTTGACGAACTCATTATGTCTATTCGATAGTTAACTAAAGGTGAAATAAAATATCGTAACGGATAATAGTTGTAATTTTAGGAGCCAAAGGAATACGAGCCATATACATATAAATGCTATCGTTGCTATTATTTAGCATTTAATTGTATAGAATACAGCGATATAAAATTAAAATTTGTCTATATAAGTGTGTATTCAAACAAATAAAAATAACCACAAGGAAATTAAATAAATATATAGTGTATTTTTTACTTTCACTTCCACTTTGTCTGAAAACACTTATTTCTGCCAAGAATTGGGTGTTAAATGAAAGTTGTATGATGCGCGCACAGCAACAGATTATTTTTTTTTCCAATTAGTGACAGTAAAAAGGTTAAGAACAATATTATCATTCAGTTGAATTTGTAAAAAAATGTTTGTGGACTATCTTATCTAGTTAGTTGCCAAACGTTTCGCTTACAACATTGAGTTACTCTCTCATATAAGGAAAATCATGTAATTATAACAAGCAAGGATACGAAAATTATTCCAGTTTGGACAATTCCCATTAACTAACTGGTCTCCAGGTATTCCATTCACTACAACATAACCTAATCCTCGAGTGGATCTGGAAGTGCGTGATCCATTTCCAGCAAGGTGTGAATGACGTGCCGGAGGCGGAAGTGGGTCGTCCACGTGGAGCGGGGGGTTGGCACGTGCGGGGGTGGCCCCCTTCATTTTACTTTTACCCCTCTCCTCCCTCCCCCTCGTTTCCCCACCTCTTCGCCCAACTTTGCTTCACAGATAACTGTATCGCACAATTTGGACGTGTGTGTGGATTAAGTTATACTGCTCTATATAACTCAGACCTATCAAAAAATCTATTTTCTGACTTGTACATTTTTTATATTTAATTAAATTTACAACTGTATATAAAATACAACTAACCACTGGCGGTCGATACTGGAGCAGGCCCAGATTCGACTTCAACGGTCGTAGTGCCGATAAAAAAAAATACAATACAACTAGTAAAAATGCACACATTAGAAATCATGACATGAACAGACTTGAAGAGATACTGCCCAGTGGTAGCACTCCCTATTTAATTCTAGATGAGAAGATCACGAAGCCATCTTCTTTTCAGACGCCTATGGGGATTATCAGGAATCGAGGAAGAAGCAAGGCTGGAAACAAGTGGATTCGGATGGGACTGGAGTTTATCATGAAAGGATAGGTATCTGGTTCGGGCTAAATCAGCGGTATATGGAACATTAAGGTCTTTATGGATGGTTTTATTTGTGACAAAATATGAGGCATTAAGGATTTTACGAAGGATTTTCGATTGTAAGGATTGGATACGAGAGGAATTCGATGGTTTGGTAGAGTTCCAAAGCTCAACTCCGTCTTGTACTTTTAAAGCCTAACATTGTTTTTTTTTTTTTTTACGTTAAGGACTTGGTTGATCTTTTGCCCGCCTTAACATGCCTTCTCCATTTCTGACTTGGATGTCAATTGTTTAAATTTCAGTCTAGATCCACCGACTTACCACTGTCCCAATTTTGTGAATGAAATATTTATATCGATTTTATTTATTTATGAAAGAAAAACAGAACTAAGCGCATGATCCTCTGATTATCCTCCCCGCCCCCTCCATCGTAAATTCTGAATTCAGCGATACTCCATTCACAGCATTTGAACATGACAGAAACTTATATTGGATACAAAATTGTTTTCGAGCCTTAGTGAAATATGATGTACTAGTAGGCCCGTGCGAAAAATTCGCACAGCATATTGTTATCAAATGTCAAATTAATAATAAAATAAAATAATGCAACATATCAAAAGATAAAGAAATCAAATGTTCCTTTATCAATAAAAATAATTGACATAGAAAACAAAAATTAATTTAAATATTCATTTCTGTTTGGAACCAACATGTATACAAATTTCAGTAAGCTGTATCTTTGCTAAAAATTGTCCGATTTTAATGATTTTTTTTTTTTATTTTGTAGGGAATTTAGTAATCATGTGTAATGTGTAATTTCTTAGTTATTCGCAAATAAAGTTTGTTTTCTTTCATAACTTGTTTGCCTGAATTTTCTGGGTGATTGAACTATTTCGCCCGCCTGAAGTAGTAGGAAGCCTTCGAAATTGGTGGCTCAATCTTGAGATTTGGTGAAAAATTAACGATGATATGGCTTGCCTTTCAAAAACACTATCGATAATTAATATCAACTGCTCCTCTCTCGATCATAGAGTCCTCAAGTCGACGAAATGAAACATGTATTCAATGACAGTACTACAATTAATGTAAGGTTGTGTGGATGCGAACCCTATGCCTTGCGTTATCTCGAAAATAGTACGTTTTTGGGCTTAAAAACGCAGGATCCGATAGTCTCGGAGGAACTATCCGTTTCTTGCTGTACGCATCAAAATCTTCAAGGTCCAGTTTATCCCGTATCGATCTACAGACCTACGACCGTTCAGGTATTGAAGTCTAGCAAAATGTTTGTATCAACTTTATTTATTTTAGAAAGAAAAACAAAAGTGGAGTATATGATTCGCTAACCCCCCGTGAAATTCTGAATCCAACGGTACCCCATTCATGGTATTTGAGCATGACAGGAGCTTATATTTGGTACAAAACCGATTTCGAGCCTTACTGTAATAATATATGTGGGGATGTGGGGATAATCAAATTTGAAAGACCGAGAAATCTTTATGTACAATTTGGAATTTTTACTTTCATTAAAACAATTGTGCTTTCATGACTTGATATATTACTTATTAATTGATATTTCTTCGGCGCCATGTTAAATTAACGAATGTGAAAAATCACATTTTTAAATTTTGTTACTTTATTTTGATTAACAATAAGAATGTAATATCATGGTTTCGGGTCGAACTACGTAAAACTGGTTGAATATAAAATAATCTGGTGCGCGCAACACACAACTTTCTCTTACCGCTCAACTTTGAATAGAAATTATTTTCTAGCCATGTTAGACTTTATAAAATTTTTGAATTGTCTTTTTAACTGAGCTTTACAGCTAACATAAATCATAAATACTGTTATAATAAGGAAATTCCTATTTTTTATATCACTGGTTGATTATGGATTGTACGAATATTAGTTATTAAACTATTATTTTCCATTGCAAAGTTAGGAATTAAGAGATTTGCATTGTTTGTCTTAGACAGGTCAAAAGTTATTACACTAATTGTAAGTGGATACTGTTGGAATATCGCAAAGGGAAAATTTATCAAATTATTCACTAATTTTCTAAAAGGTTTCATAATGATTTTTCGGTATAAACAGACGATAGATACATAAAAATTTAAATATAATATCAGATCTATAGTTATTGAACTACAGTAAATATATTTTAAAAATTGTGATGGAAAAGGGGATGGTATTGAAGATGGGTGCTGGAGGAGATGGTCGGTGATAATATTGCATATCTGGGTTCGGGAAATAGTCCGTTCGTCATCGTGAGCAATCAGGTTGTAGTCTTGATGGATATATTCTGAATCAGTAAGGACAGCTGGGACAAGGTTGTTGGATTGAGAAGGAAGAGTGTCAAAATTTGGTCCGATACTAAGGATATTAATTACGTGAGGCGGGAGTTCGACGGAAGAAATGTTATGAACCCAATCCATATCGCCACGGGGGTAAACCTTATTTGAATCCGAGGATACTTGAAATTGGCTGAATTTTTTCTTTAAACCCCCGTGGCGATATTGATTGGGTTCATAACATTTCTTCCGTCGAACTCCCTCCTCACGTAAATAATATCCTTAGTCTCGGACCAAATTTTAACACTCCTCCTTCTCAATCCACCAACCTTGTCCCAGCTGTCCTTACTAATTTAGGATATATCCATCAAGACTACAACCTGATTGCTCACGATGACGAACGGGCTATTTCCCGAACCCAGATATGC